AACCAGCACCGAAAAGATATAAGAAGTATAAGAAGAAGGAAAAAAAAAAAAAAAAAAAAAAAAAAAAAAAAAAAATAGAATAAAAAATATGTCAAATTTAAAAAAGTGTTAAAAATACAATATCTTATAAAATTATATCGATACGGTTTGTATTGTAATTACTTAAAATTTTAATAAAAATTATAAATGTTATTTAATCTATAATAAATAAAAGAGATATTTTTGTTGCTTATTTTAATAATAATAATAAAAAAAAAATAATATATATATATATATTTGCCTGAGCATCACAAATTTATATATTTTAATATTCCTAACTATCTTATAGAAGCTTTCTTATTGTGAAGTAAGCCTTTTGGCATGCATCTCAAAATATTCTGTTTTCGAAAGTATTTAATACCTTAAAAGTATTTACCTTAAAAACAGCATACAGCGAGTTCTATATAATTCACTGAGGTAAAACAATATTTGTATGTAATATTGGTGTTCTTATTAATCTTTTTTTGTATTAACAATAGTGCATAAATCAATCTAGTGTTGTGTTACGCGAGAGCAGATGCTGGTAAAGAACTGTGTTTAGGTTTTGTTTTATTTAGAAAAACCTTTATATAGCCATTGAAATCTGCACTCACAAGGACATGTCCACCACAGCCTTTAGTACGCTGCTCGACCACAGGATCAACGGGAGGAACATCTACGGTTGAACTACCTAATTTTGCATCCTCTTTATTTTCCCAATGTTCTCTTTCTTCAATTTGTTTAATAATACTATCTGGATTTGGTGCAAACACTGCACACGTCACTACGGCATTATGAGCTTTTATACCTTCCCAAAAATCATTTCGATCTCTACGTACGCTTGAAAATTTAGAATAATCATGATGAGTTTTCCAAATATAAATGCATTGATTTTCCGAGCCGCTAACTATATATTGCCCATCGGGACTGAAACTTGCTTTAATTTGACTACTGACATTAACGTAACCTTTGTATTTGCATGATAGATTTAAATCTCGCAAATCATATAATCGTATACGGCTATCATTTGAAGTAACCAAAATTTTATCTTCACCTGGCATAGGTTCAATACCGCTAATCTTTCTTCCCGTTGAATTTTTACCTCTTGTTGATCGAACATGTATTTGCGTGTGATACTTCAATTGATCCGTGTTGTAAAATATACATCGGCCATCGTAAGAACCAACTACCGCGAATTTTCCATTTTGACAAAAATTTGCAGCAGTAATCAATTTAGTTTGTCCATCGACTTCGTTCCACACAGCCACCTTCTTATCTGGAATATTCCACAATCGAAGTTTACCATCCAATGATCCGGAAAGAAAATAACGATCATCGCGAGGATGAAACACTATTGCTGTAACAAAATCGATATGCTGGAAACAACATAGACATTCTTTTCGTGATATATGCCAAAGTCGAACAGTTTTGTCCATTGATGATGATAAGACAAAATAATTTTTGGACCATGAAACATCGAGCAAATCCGAGGTATGTCCGGTATAAGTGCAAAAAGGCTTTGGCATAAAAGGACTTTTCGTCCCTTCTATTTCACTAAAGGCACTAGCCACAACATTAGGATCTTCCATAGATTGTTGTGAAACCAAAGATTCTTGGGAAGGAGTTGGGCTAACTTTCTCGGCATTGTATTTAGTTCGCATATCTTGAAAGTACGTGAAAGCATCCCGCAAAACCCAAATTCTTAAAACTCGATCTTGTCCTGCAGTGGCAAGTAATCGTCCGCAAACTGAAAATTTCATACACCAAACAGGACCTACATGTTCGCCACTCAAATCTTGAACATGCTGTAAACAACTAAATTCATACGGTCCTTTATGACTATTAGATGCTTTTAATTTTATGTATTGCTGTTCACCAGGATATACTTCGTCTACTATATCCATAACATCTTCTTTATGCCTTGCATGCGATACTTCTTGTGCAATAGATTTTGCTTTGTCCATTGTTTTTTTTACAGTAGATCCTAAGAATCGTTTCAACTTTTGTGTTTTTTTTCGAACTCTACCAACAGATACATCTTCATCAGGCGGTATACTAGACATTTTACTATCAACACTTTCTTCGTCACTTTCTTTTTCTTTTTCTAGACTAGAATTACTTATATATTCTGAAGTAAGTCTCATAATATGAAGCGATAAAGGATTAATACATTGCGGTAATTTATCTTCTGCTATACTCAATGGTACTCTTTCTCCAGTATCCAAATTTAAAACTGTTACTTGCTCCAAGATTTCCTAAAAATATTATTAACGTAATTCTAGTAAAATATGCATGTATGTAATAAGAAATAACATTTCTCTATCAAGTATATACCATATCTGTTAGACGTTTTCCAGAATCTGTTCTTGTTCTTACAAACATATTTAATTGCTGAACCATATCTTGGTCACCTGCTGATTTTCGTCTTTCTTTTGAACCTTGCGGACTTAAACCTGATAATTTATGAGGACCTAAAGAATATCGACCGATACTGTTATTAGACATGGATCCCAATGGACTACTAGATTTGTCACTCGACCTCACGCTCATTAATTCAGCTTTCATTTTTTCCACCCTTTCCAGTTCTTCGGTTGACGGGCCTTCGGCTCTCGACTTATCTTCATCCTGTATAAATAATGACAAAATTGAACAATTTATATTTCATTTGATATTTTAAAATTATATTTTACAAATATTATAATATTACTTGTGGTTTAACTACATATTGTCCTTTCGTTGCAGATCGAATATCAAGAGAATGTTCAAATTCTCTGGTAATGGATTCGATAGTACTCGCAGGACTTGGTAACGGCGACGCTGATAATGCCGATTCCGTTGTAGAAGGCTAAAATCATAAATCTATATTTACTTATTTTATTATTAATATTATATTCTTAATAATTTTACATAATATCTTTTTTACTGTAGCAATATTATATTAATAAATATCGTACTGCAAGATCAGAAGGTGTTTGAACTTTTGACTTTTTTTTACGTCTTGGTGGTGCAACAGGTATTCCAACCATAGTAATATCTTCATTTGATTTTCCATTATTCTTTGTACTAGCGATGACATCAGGTTCTTGAAGCATAACAGTCTTATCATTTTGTGAGTGAGAAATATAATTGGACCTACTGTTAACAGAGGATTCCTGAAGGATATCCCCTGATAACGTAAGGATGCTGGAGGACTGGGACACCTTACCAGATGCTGTGTCCTCGTCTTTGCTTGGAATACTAGCAATGGAGGACATCTGGCTTTCACGGGTAAGGATGGCAGAAGGGGGACACTGGGTTACATTTGGTGCAAGTGTAGTAGACGCACTGTCCCCAACTCCAGCTAAAATTCGGCCCACTCGTCCTAAAGATGTCATGCTTTGTAAACTAAGAGTATCATGTTCTATAATCCTAAATGGATGTGTTGTCTTTGAAGGAGTAGGATAAACACCCTCGATTGATGATGTTTGACTATCTGGAGGGGAACTATTAATTGCAATATCATCATCTTCTGTTTGCATACGTTGTCTGAGTTCACGAAATCTTCTTCTACCTATACTTTTATCAGTACTTGAATCTTTTCCATTTTCTTCCTATTTAAATAAATAAATTTTATTAAACACTAATAGAACGTTAAATATTACATGTATTACAATTTTAACAGTGACAACTACTTACATTTTTATCTTTATTAACTATACATTCTATCATTATATGTTCCTTTGGTTCTACAATTGGTTTAGGTTGAGCAGGTTTCACAAAAACATCATCATCCATTTTTTTGGATGATTCTGATGTATCCTTATTTTGTGTTTCAACACTGATAGAATCACGTTGTTTATTTTTCCTATAAGAACCAAATATTTTAATTATAAAAATAATTCTTTTAATATGAAATATAAAATGAGTCTTATTTTAATAAAATGTTAATTTATTTATGTATTGTAAATTTATTTATATATCTATTTTATTTATATATCTATTTTGTTATATATGAATGAATATATACATATTTATTTATTTATTTATTTATATTTGAATATACAAAAAATGAATATAAAATTTTTCTAAATATCATATTATAAACTCTAAATAAATAAAATAATTGTAATTATATAAACGAATATTAAAATTTAAAAAATACAATTGTATTAAAATAAATGAATGATTTATTAAATAGATTAATAATTATTCAAATACATCTATATAATAACAAAATTGTTTCAAAATCTCTTAAATTAACAATATTAACATTTAGATTCATAAAAAATTTGTAAATTTTACCAATTGTGATAATTTCATACGAATATATGAATATCTAATATAAGTATTTAAATTCAGACCTAACCAAAGATAATTACTTAAGAATATGATACGATAATAAAAATCAGTTATATAAAAACGATTTGAAAAAAACTTTTGTATGTATAAGAACTTTAATTAAGATATATCGAATTAAAAAGAATGAAAATTGGAAATCAAATTTTATAATAAATAATTTTTTAGTTACATCTAAACTAGGTATATCTAATTTATACAACAATATTTTTTATTAAATGTCCAATATATACGAAAAAATTATATTCGAAATAAAATTTTTAATAAAACAAATTAAAAAATTACCGTGCATTATGATGAAAAGTATCATCCTCTGCATCAAAAAATTCTTCGGAATCGCTGCTTCCAGACATTGTCGTCTGCACTGAGTGATTGGTAATAATACTCTTCTCCGCATCGGTACTGTCAAGGCACGTCACGCGTTTCGCAAAATCGCGAACACTAGGGCCAGGTAGAAGCGGCCACAGGATCGTAAGCGGCACGAAGTCATGATTTGACTTCTAATAGCGGTTACACAAGTGCACAGTTTTGTGCTGAATGCACTGGTGCGTATTTCAATTATCCTAGTTCTTTCAAACGTAAATTAGCGATGTGAAAGTGGTAACACTGCCTGAATCCATCCAATAAAGAGGCTGCATCATGGAAAAGAGTTGTACGATTGGTGAACAACGAATTTGCAGCCTCGAACTCGTGCAGCTGCCCGCTCGCCAGCATGCCTGCTGCAAAGGAGGCGAGCCGTCACACAAAAGCAAGATGGAGGATCTCACAGTCGAAGTATGCGGCGAAAACGGAGCATATTATAAGGTTCGTTCTGTGAAAAGTATACAAAAAACAGGGCGGAAGATTGAGGCCGTGGATAGACTAACTTACGGCCCATGGCGCGGTTCTAATCTCACAAAAGAGACGCCCGTACTTCGCGAAAGCGCGGCCCTCAAATGTTCGCGAGGTAACGCGGCTTCCTCCGACGCCATGTCTCGTTTGACAGGGCGTGATTTTCGTCAGCTTTTGATGTTGCGATTCGTCTCAACATTCTCCCAATTCATAAAAACGCATATCTTTAATATCAGAATTATAAAAACACTACTCTCTAACGTATCCCGAAAGTATCGCGGTATTATGTCCGAATGTCTTACGCTACTCATTATACCTGTGATTCTTGTACGAATGAATTTATATGCTTTATGTTTCATTTTTTCAGGCCTTTGTCACAGATGTCTTTGAGGACGAGGTTTTAGTAACATTTGAAAATGAGTAAGTTTTTTTTTCTACTTTTCAAAAACAGTTTAGTTGCTAATATATTTGAACATTTACCCTGATACTCTGAACTAATAACAGTGTAGTCTTTTGAGCATAAGAATTATACTATTTTTATCAACTATAGAAGGTCTAATATTTCTAATACCTACATCAACAGTTTCAAAAATTATATAATATTTATGGATATTACTTGTTATCATTATTTGATTAATTATAACTTTTTAGGATTTTTTTATACATTTATTTCTATATATATATATATATATATATATATATATATTATTATAT